GTGTGTGTGTGTGTGTGTGTGTGTGTGTGTGTGTGTGTGTGAGAGAGAGAGAGAGAGAAAGTAAAAACACGCAGCACAGGCCCATACTTTTGTTAATCTGAACCTACAACCTTTATTGGACCGGTTAAGTTGTGCACAGGAGCAGATTTGACAGTCAGGAAGGAGAAGGTGAGAGATGAGGGGCGAGGATATACTGAGAGAGAGGAAGTGAGAGGAAAGGAAGGACAGAGTGGAGAGGTTAGAGGGAGAGGACAGCAGCACTTTGTCCGTGTGGAGCCGTGCGGCCTACAGTTTTCACAGGTCTCTGATAGGCTTTTCACACTTGTTTGGGATCTGTATGGCCCCCCCCCCTCTGAGTAATACCATCCTCCAGAGACAGAGAGAGAGATAAAAACACAGCTCCCAGTCCAGTGTTGTGCTGAGCTGCAGACATGGCAGCTGTAAAAAGCGGGGGGGAACTCACAGCGAGTGACAGTGAGGATTAGACAGCATTTATTTTTTTTCTTCAGATATTTATAGTGGCTTTCATATGCAGTAACAACAACACCAACAGTCCTTTGTCTCTGCCGATCCTGCTTTAACTCACTACCTGGATTGTGCTTGTTGTGGTCAGATTATCCATTTTTCCCCCAGGTCCGTTAATCCTCAACTGCAGCGTCGTTAGGAAGTCAAACACGTTTTTAACTTATTGCCTGGTATGATTGCTTCAGTGATGGAAGCGCTGTCATTCCTGTCTTGCCCGTTGAATCAACCCCCCCCCCAGTCCCTGCGTGTTGGAAAAATAACCTTTTGGAACATAGCGGACATGAGGAAAATAAGCCGCTCCACGATAAAAAAATCAAAACTGCCCAAATGAAAAAGTTAATTAGAGAACGTAGGTTTTTCAAATGGGGCTAAATGTCAGAAATGTGTTTGTGGAAGACCAGATAAAGAGGGAGAGGACTGGAGGGAGGTTGTCAGACATTAATAGAAAGGGTGGGTGGGGGGGGGGCAACACAGTATGCTCTCCTGAACATTGTATCTGAGAGATATGATAATGGATTAGAGTACAGGGGCACGCATACATGTAAACATATGCTCTTCACATTACATACATGAACAGAATCCACTGCAGAAATAGATACTCCAGAGATGGAGAGGAGAGGAGAGGAGAGAAACAAAGAAAGGAAGAACAAGTGAGACACTGTCTTACTCTGATCTGATAATCACAGCAACGACAGGCAATAAGCAGTTGTGAAATTACATACTAATACACATAATAGCTTCATTTCCATGTTCTCCATGCTTCCACCAATATATTTTAATTTACATTAAACATTTTTCCAACACTGATCTTTGCCTCAGAGCTCTAAATACTCCATCTTGGAGAAATCATATTCCACTGACCGTCCTATAGGAAGTCCTGTCCACCATCTTAGCTCAGATTGCCCAAACTGTGCAGGACTGTGCACGGCCGTTCTCTACTTACTTTGCATAACTCTCGAAGCATAAAAACTGTCCATGCATGATTTATTTTTCTTTATCCCTTTGACCTTCATCACATAATACATCCTGACTCTTGTATGCATTTTCCTTTGCAATCTGTTGCTTGTACACATATTGTGTGAGTGTGTGTGCCACGGGCTGTGTAGTACAGTTTATATCACATTCTTGTTATAGCTATACAATCATACAACACACCGTAGCCTCTCTATCAGCACTAGACCCTGGTATGAGCTAACACAGAGAAATCTTGATAATATATAGTCAATGCTTTACTGTGGTAGGCTGCTATGCTATGATAAAATATATTGAGTTCACTGGCGTAGTGGATTTCTGGAAAAGAAACTTAATGCACAAGAACCTTGATATGAACCTTCCTTCCCTTTCTGATTAGCCCACACTGACATCAGTCGATTCTGTGGATGAGAAATGTCATAGTTTGAGGAGGGCACGTTGTCGTTTGTCAATTAAGAAGTCAGCAGCAGGCAGAAAAGTGTTGATTGGCTGGCGTGAGGTTTCTTAGCATCCTCGCTCCCTGACTGGCTGAAGAGGAGAGCTGGGAGGGATGTTTCCACCAGAAAGGGGAGGTCAGTCCGTCAAACATCTGGACAAAACACTGCAGGTGTATGATGGCCTTCTCCTTAGTTCTTCATACAAGAAAAATCAGTTGTTCATTGCAAAAATTTTTACTATATAAAGGTAATGGGCGTGATTGCTGTTCAGTTCCACTTCTGGTTCCGGTTCCATAGATACAACAAAATAAAAACCCGAGACCCACTTCCCCCTCCCATCCCCGCCTCTGGCCCTCTGCTGTTCTGCTATGCTGATTGGTCGGGGGAAGCTGTCCGTCAGCGTGTTCGTGGCTGGGGAGAGGGGATGGTCAGCCCGGCGTGCTGGTGATGGTCTTGGCTGTGTAATTCTGGAAGAGCGGCTGCAGGAACATTCCCATTGTTCCGAACACGCACACGAAGATGAAGATCCACAGGAAGAGGCGGTCGATCACCATGGCGACGTACTTCCAGTCCTCGCTCACCTGTGGATGGAAAAGGGGGGATGAGGGGGTGGGGTGGTGGTGGAGAGAAATATTAAGGTGAGCTGAATCACACCCTCCCCACATCCTCTCATCATTGTATCACTTTATGTATGCAGGGGGGTTAATAGAGGTGAAGGGTTAATGTGAGCGGAGACTTGTTCTGCCACAAAGCACTGATGAGGTCCAGCAGGAGTCAAGGAGGGGGAGAAGGACATGGGAGACAAGAGAGAGTGATGGAGGGCAGAGAATCAGAGGGTGCGCTGACATTGTAACCCCGGAGATGATGACTTGGGGAGGAGGGGAGGCGAGAGGGATGGGGTGGGCTGAGGCAGGAGAGGAGAGGGAGGATTTTCAAAACAGTCGGCATGGAGATGGGATGGTAACTATGGCGATGATGGACAGAATTACAGAGGATTGTTAATTCCCATGTCGGTTTCTTTCACTCCGAGAGAGTCTCCTAAGATGCCTTGGGGGGGAACGATAAAAAATGCCAACCTCGCCCCACCGCCGTCTTGTCTCCTCCGTTCTGGCGCTTTCCCACTTGTACTCCTTCTCCATGCACACGTCAGGCCACTGCTATAATTGCATGTCTGCGTTGAATATTTAGAGGGGGCTACGATTACGTCACCAGATCTGTCTCCTCTGCTTATGCTCTGGCGTAGTCCCTCATGCGTTTCAAATGGCAGCGCTAAACGGCACGGCTGCGAGGCTCTATCATCACTATAACATGATATGGCACTGAGAGAGGACAGATCCGCGCTGCTCAGAGACGCCTTTTTACGGCTACCAACATATTCCCATGAAAGCAGGTGATTTGTGATGTGTTGTTATCCATATAGAGACAAGATTATATTTTATCGTGGTATGAAGAAGGTGACGCACAGGCAGCCTCATTTTACCACCAAATCTTGTTGCCGATACATTGGTCTCAAATTGAAAAGCAGTAAACTGCAGCAATGAAAGATTTACCAGCAGCATCAGCAGCATGTATCTTTTACTTTGTCTGCGTCGTTTTCTGTTTAGTTATTTAAACCTACATTTGTGAATTGTCTTTTATCTTCAGATGACAAATTCTCTATTATGACACCAGTTTGTGTCTTTGTCTCAAGTATGTTCGTCAACTTTTTTGTGTTTTGTTATTGTCAACAGCTGACTGCAACCGGAAGCGACGCTGATCAGAGCTGTGAGAGTGAAGGGAAAACAGTCGAGTAGGAGGCCGAAACCAAAACAATGAGCTTAAATAAGGATTCTTTGTTTAAGGTAGCAAATCAATTAAGTCAAGTTGAGGGGAACTGCAGAGTTGGGTGACACAGGCTATGACTATAACATCTAGAGCTCGACCGATATGGATTCTTGGGGTCAATGTCAATCAGCGTTGCCAGATGGGAAATGTTGAAGAATCGTACCAGAAGCTTTAATTTATCGTATTTTGAGGAAAATGATTGTACGTGGCCAGAGTAGGGATGGAACGCTCAATACAGCGGCTTTGAAGCTGTGTCAATATTCTGAAGCACAGTTGTTTTTCCATCACGTGACTATGGTTAAGTGAGGCTTTGATGCATCACACTGTGGGTATGAGCTATGGATATGATTCTTGAAAGTCAATGAGTACTCAAACTTTTCTTGCAAGTCAGCAAATCATTGCATAAGATTATAAAGCAAA